TTACAACCTATTATAAAGTCCGAGTATATTATTAAAAAAATTAAAATATAGTCCGAGTATATTATAAGGCAAGTTCTATGGTACACCTAACAATTTGAGTGTAAAGGTACACCAAATCCTTAAATTAATGGTTAATTAAACAAATGAAAAGCTTGTCTATAGACAACATATATGACACATCACCTTAAAAAAATATTTATCAGCGTTTTTGGTTTTGTCCACCGAAACATTCACCTAAAAAAAAAAACTATCACCATTTTTGTTTTTCTCCACCCAAACCTTATGTAGCTCCGTCAGAAGCGCAAAGCAAGAACATAGACATAGGAACTTTTGTTATGGAAAACGGCATATATTGTTTTCATTTAGGTTAGAGAGAAAGGAACCATCACATATGGCTTCTAGTAGAGAGGGCCGTCAAACCCTAAAATTACTCTCATCTGACCATTCACTTCACTCGCAGCCCCTCCCAACCTTCCTTTCGACCTCATCCCAGATATACTGTCTAGGTTGCAGGTGAAATTCCTCCTTCAACTCCGATGTGTCTGCAAGTCATGGAAATCTCTGATCTCCGATCCAAAATTTGCTAAGAAGCACCTTAGATTGTCAACCATGCGAAGCCTGCACTTCGTAGGCTACAAACAACACTCCCTTGGCAAGTACGTTCTAAAGTCTTACCCACTCCACTCTATCCTAAAGAACATAAACACTAACTTCACACAGTTTGAGTATTTTGCAAACAATTTTGACGGAGATTATCTTGCTGACAGTTTCCGATACTTTATTGACTCTTGTGATGGAATTCTTTGTATTGGAGGTAGTTATAAAGGCTTAGTTATATTGTGGAACCCTTCTTTACGAAAATTTAAAGAGTTGCCCCTTTTTGAAAAGCCAAAGGTTACTCATCTTAGAATGTCGTTTGGCTTCGGCTACGATTCTTTTAAGGAGAATTACAAGGTGATTGTTGTTCTACACTACCTTATTCGTGATAGTACAGGTAGTGATAATTGGGTTCACAAATCTGAAGTAAAGGTTCATACTTTGGGTTCTAATATTTGGAAAAACATCCATGAGTTTCCTTTTGGTGTTTTCCCTGTTGCAAGATCAGGTAAATTTGTCAGTGGCACTATTAATTGGTTGGCCTCCAGACAATTCCATCCATGTACCCGTTCTATTGTTTCTTTTGATTTGGCAAAAGAGTCTTATCAAAAGATATCCCCTCCTAGTTATGGAGGGGTAGATGTCTGTAACATGCTTACCTTGGGTGTTTTGAGGGATTGTTTGTGCTTGATCTGTGGTGATGATGTTTGGGTTATGAAGGAATATGGAAAAAAAGAGTCTTGGAATAAATTGTTCACTATTCCTTATATGCTGTATCGTGGTAGATATAGTATCTACACCAAGGTAATATATGTTTTTGAGGATGATCAAGTGCCGCTAAAAGATTTAAGTGATTCGGCATTGATTCTTTACAATTCCAAAATGGTACTCATAAGTCTATTAATTTTATAGACATTCCAGAAGTCTGCATTGAGAGTTTAATATGGCCTTGTTCTTAATGTTATGTCAATCAACATTATTGCTTAAAATGCACCTAAGATGACATGTTGGTATATTCACTCAAGAACAAATTGAGGCCCAAAATTAGTATATTTTTACAATCAATCAACAGATGACCAAGATGATACTTAATTTGGCAACAGTGGATGTTCCAATTTTATTGGAGATCTACAACTTTGCTGAATAAACTGGTCAAATTTGTAGAAGAATCTACTTGATGGTGGTTGAATTGTGTCGTCACTACTATTCTACCAGTCTACCATACGGTCAACAAGTTAGTGATAAAGGTTTAGTGTCTTCCATGGGTTGTGTTTCTTGCAAAAGAATTTAAATTGAATTCTGAAAGATGAAATTGTAATCACTCATCATGGTCAATTATAATATCTAAAATGATTTGAAATTAACTTATCATACATTTTATAATTTATCACAGTCACATTAAGATACACACTGCGACTTGCGAAACAAGAATCTTGTCTCATTAGTGATGGCTGAACATTTCAGTTGGTCTATTATCTACATAGACCAAACTTCCTCAAAAACAGAAACCCAGTAAGAAATCCAAATGCAATGTCAAGGTACCCAATAGTGTTCCTACCAAAGAACAAATAAGAAATAATGAAATTTATTCATCCAATGGTGAAAAGTAAAACTTGTGTATGGCACAACATTAATTTGATTTATACATGGACAAAGTCTCATTTCAACATCTAAAACCTTCACATAAACAACTCGAAAGAGATATTGAGTGTGGTACAATACATCCTTGATGAAATTTTAACTGAAAATAAATGGTATAAAAGAAAAAGGGATAACGAAAAGGGGATTTAGTATATCAAGTATCAACTACCTTTTGTTCAGCACGATTAGCCCAAAATGAGAAAGAGTTCCTTGATAAGGATGGTGAGGCAAAAATTGATATTGCTGTCATGCTTCATCAATGTATTCAAAGATAATGAATGACTCTGGAATTGGTTTTTGGGCATGGACAAGAACTGGAACCTTCTTGTGAACGGGTTCCATTCCAAATGGGGAGAGCTTTCGTTGAAGATATCTTCTTCTACGTACTCATAATCGGAAATTGCTTCTATACTGAAGTATTTTATGATCCATTCATTTCCTTTCGTCATTTTTTGTACTTTAAGTGGCAAAAATCTGATGTTAGTGTTTTTTTTACTTTCTTCTATTTTTTCTTTCCATTATGAAAGAGGGTTGCAATTTTGTAGAATTCTACCGTAGAATTATGAAGATCCTGTGAGGATTCGTAGCTCGTTGAGATGTTTTCAAGCGGCAGTGTTGGTTCTGAATCTATGGAACAAGCGTTGGTTCTTTTGTTGCTTGCTCTCAATTTGATCTTATCTTTGTTGTGCAGATGGTTCACCTAATTTTAGATCAGAGGAAATTTCCGGACACTAATCACAAAATGAGATTGAAGGAGGAGTTCAATAACTATATCCACAACATATGAAGAACGGATATGCACACGTACACCAGACACGACACGGACATTGACACGTCGGCACCGCTAATAATTTGAGAAAATAGTTTACGTGTTCTCTGTCATAACGAAACCGTGCTTTGAATACCACTTGATGAAGTACACAGAATGTATAGGAATAAAAAGGTAAATAAAAGATGGAAATGGGAAAGGAATGGTAAATAAGACATCACATTCACTTCTAATCCAAAAAGGAATGTTAAGCCATGAGGAATCGTCACAATGGTAAGGAAGTCATTGATAAGATTCGATAAACAAGTTTTAATCCAAGAACTCATAGAAGAGATAAATCTCTGTCAAAATACACATAGTGTAAATTTTTCTCAACCTAAATATTCAGCCTTCAATATCATCTCCGTGTCCCGTTTATGCGGGCTTAGTACATGATGCAGGTTTAGATTCTGAAACTCTTAGAAAATGAACGGAAATGCAGCTACTAATTTCAATAATGTTTTGGTGGCTGAATTTTACAAAAGAGGTTAAAAAATAAACATAAAATTAGAGGTGGACTATCTTGTCTGAACTTCCTTTTTATTATGCGCCCCACGTTTTTCTCTCCAGATTCTTCATGATTCTTTCCACTTGATTAGAGGTGGACTATCTTGTCTGAACTTCCTTTTTATTGTGCGCCCCACGTTTTTCTCTCCAGATTCTTCATGATTCTTTCCACTTGATTTGTCTAAGAATTATATGCATGAAAGGAGATAGTTCACACGAAAATTGAAAATAACAAGCACAATTGTCCCTTCCTTTTACTTGCATCACGTCTGAAGCTTGTCTATAACCTTATATGAATGGTGACAGTTGATACATCATAAAAAAAAAAATTATTTTTCATCTTTTCTGTTTTTCTCCACCGAAACCTCTTATTTTTTTATTTTTTGAAGGACCGTCGAAACCTGTTCTTATGTAGCGCCGTCAGAACCGCAAAGCAACAACATATTTTCGTTATGGAAAATGGCGTATATTGATTTAATTTAGGTTAGAGAGAGACGAACCATCAATATGGCTTCCAGTAGAGAGAGTCGTCAAACCCTAAAATTACTCTCATCTGGCCCTTCATTTCACTCGCAGCCACTTCCCACTCTTCCTTTCGACCTCATCCCAGATATACTGTCTAGGTTACAGGTGAAATTCCTCCTTCAACTCCGATGTGTCTGCAAGTCATGGAAATCTCTGATCTCCGATCCAAAATTTGCTAAGAAGCACCTTAGCGTGTCAACCATCCGACGTCTGCACTTCGTAAACTACGAAGAAGGCTCACTTCGCGAGTATGTTCTCAAGTCTTACCCACTCCACTCTAATTTAGCAAGCACTAACACTAACTTCACACGGTTTGAGTATTTTGCAAACAATTTTGATGGAGATTATCCTCGTGATAGTATCCGTTACTTCATTGACTCTTGCAATGGAATCCTTTGTATCGGAGGTGGTTATAAAGGCTTAGTTATATTGTGGAACCCCTCTTTACGAAAGTTTAAAGAGTTGCCCGTTTTTGAAAAGCCAAAGGTGTCTACTGATCACCTTAGAAAGACTTTTGGTTTCGGTTCCGATTCTCTTACTGATAATTACAAGGTAATTGTTGTTCTAGACTACTTTATTCATGATAGAACAGATAGTGATAATTTGGTCCGCAAATCTGAAGTAAAAGTTCATACTTTGGGTTCTAATATTTGGAGAAACATTCAAGAGTTTCCTTTTGGTGTTTTCCCTTTTGGAAGATCGGGAAAATTTGTTAGTGGCACTATTAATTGGTTGGCTTCCAGAAAATTCTATCCGGGATGTAACCATTTTATTGTTTCTTTTGATTTGGCAAAAGAGTCTTATCAAAAGCTATCACCTCCTAGTTATGGAGGGGCAAATGTGGGTAAAATGCCTACCTTGGGTGTTTTGAAGGATTGCTTGTGCTTGACTTGTGGTGATGATGTTTGGGTTATGAAACAATATGGAAAAAAAGAGTCATGGACTAAATTGTTCACTATTGCTTACGAGCGTGATCCTAATAGATTCTACATGTACGCCAAGGTAATATATGTTTTTGAGGATGATGAAGTGGTGATGTTGCACATTTTAGGTGCTTTGGGATTGAATTTGATTCTCTACAATTATAAAAATGGTACTCTTAAGTCTATAAATCTTAAAAACAATCCAGAAGTCTGTATTGAGAGTTTAATATGGCCTTGTTCTTAATGCTAGGATGTAGTTCTTAAATTTTTGAGTATGATCAAGTGCTGTTCTTAATTTTATGTCACTTGAGCGTGAGATTCAACTGATACATCCTTTCAGATTAAACTGATAAACTTATATTAGTTTTTTTATGTTATTTATTTATATTTTTAATTTGTCATTGTTACTAAAACTTCTTGCATCATTGTTAAACTGATAAACTGATTGTTGAAGGTTGAGAAATGACAACTATGGCAACTATGTTTGTGAAATGACAACTATGGCTCTGTTTGGTAAAAAGAAGCCATAAGCTATGCTAGTTGATGGTTGAAAAGCTAACTGATAGCTGAAAAGCAAGCTGATAGCTGAAAAGCTCGCTTATTAAAAATAATGTGTTTGGTAAAATTAGTTGTTATAAATATAAAATGATTTAAAAGTACATGACAATTTAATTTAAAAAAAAATCAAAATTATGTCAAAAAAAATATAACCTTTGAAAAATATTCATCAAAATCTATGAAAATCACGTATTGTCTTTGGTCCCTTCTTCATACATCAAAATGAACATTCTATAATGCTAAATTTGAAAAGGAATAAATTCAATCGTATACGTTAATTTAAGTGACTAAATTATCATTTCACAAATCTAAAGAACTATACTATAGACTTTGTGTATCTTAAAGACATTGATTTAAAAGAAAGAAAAAAATGACAAAAATTTACTTCCTTTAAGAAATTTGGCCGAAGAGGACGTAAATCAACACCAATCTAAGTCATTTGATTATTTCCTACATTATGCAATGGTTGCCATTAAACATGGACAATACATTCAAACTACCAAAGTTTCAATTCTGGACAAACCAGAATCCATTCAAATTATTGAGCATACAAGTGATAAGATAGTAAATCATGATAATTTATAACTAATGTAATGATCATGTCAGGCTGAGATTTCCACTGCCATATTTTATAGACATGGAAGGACAAAAATGATAAACTCTAATATATATACTTGTGGGGAAATTGCGGCCTTTGAAGTGTTTGTGACAAAAATATCTGAGAAGAAGAGGAAAACAAAACATGAGTGAGTGGTGAGTGAGTGGGACAGTTGCTTTTCTTTAATGAAGGGTACAAAAGTAATAAAAATAAAATAATAAGGTTATTATTGGAAGAAAATGTAAAAAGCTATCAGCTATAAGCTAAAAAGCTATTTGAAATAACTTCTCAAAAAAATGCTATAAGCTCGTGAAAAAAAGTTTGTTGCCAAACACATCACGTTTTCATTCAACGAGCTTATAAGCTAGTCCAACAAACTATAAGCTAGCTTTTTTTGTGTTACCAAACACAGCCATTACTCTTTATTTTCTTTTCCATAAAATAAAGAGTAATGTATTTTTCTCTTCATATATTTAGGTCACTGTCCTCCTAGGGCAAACCATTTTGGTTAAAAAAAAAAACAAGACAACGAAGGACTCTGCAAATTGGTTGTTGGACATGGACAAGAACTGCAACCTTTTTGTGAACCAGGTTTAATTCCAAATGGAAAGGACTTATTTTGAATATATCTATGTACACCCTTTCAAAATTGCAACTTTCGGAAAAAAAATATTTTTGAATTTTGCAAAACATCAAACCCCCTTTAAAAATTATTAAACGTTAGTCAATTCATCCTCTTTGTCAATTTCATCTATTAGCCAATATGACATAACATTTTACTATCTATGTGACACTGCAACGTGTATGATATGTTATGCCACATCACATAAGGTAAAAAAACTGAATTTCTTTTACAGTTATGAATAAATATCTCCCTTAAAATTTTACACTTGTGTGAAAAATACCTCTTGAAACTGATACTAATCAAATAAATTGGTTTCTATGACAAAAAATATATATTATTCTACTTCTATGACATGCATCAATTATATGCTCCAATAATAAATACTAAACCATACAAATGAGTAAACTAGCAAAATAATTATACACTCACATAAAATACTAATTAAACTCAAAGAAATCTCATTTAAGGGAATACTAATTGTAGTTATAATTATGATTACGGTTAGCACGAAGGTGTTGGTTTGAGATCTGAAAAACAAAATATAATTTGATTGGTTAGAGATTACAATTAACCTCGAGGTGTCGTGGCCTAATTTTTGTTTTTTTGCTTTCGCATCGTTTCCGACCCAACAAAGGTGAACGACTAATCCAGCTCTTGCATGGAGGCATGCACACTGTCGAAGTGTTGTTTCTTAACAAAAATATATAATTATGATTGCAATAATATTCACAATTAATGTCATTAAGCAAACCATAAAACATCCAAGTTTAAATGGCTAGATTTACGCGGCTTATGGATGTAGCAGTGATAAATTATTATTGTCCATCAGCAATTCAACTTTAAGTATAAAATATACGACATTAATTATTATAATTGCAAACGGTTATGACTTGATGGTCTGATAGTACAATAAAGAGATGATAAAAGATTTCATAGATGTATGATATGTTGTGCTCAATTTCCAACTTGTAATTTCTAATCTAATAAAAAAAAAAAAACTTAGTAATTTCTCATATTTTTTTCTTTTATGGAAATTTCTCATTTCTTTATATTTGGTGTTTTTGAGTTAAGCCGATAATTTATTTAGATTTAGTCTTTGTGAGTTTAGTTCAGATATTGTATAATATATACTGAAGTCGGGGTCGAATCTTGACACCTAACTTATTCATCTTAAAAAGGTAAATTTCTAGCAATTAGACTATTTGATAAAAAAAAAGTTTTTACAGAAAATAAAAAGTTATTACTTGATTAATGAGTGATTAATATTTTATTACTATTGGAATATCTTCTATTCCTTTTTTGATGTTATTGTGCTCTTGATTTATCAAAAACATAATAATAATATTGTTTTTGTTTGAACAAGCCAAAATGATACTACCTCCGTCCCTAATTATAAGACTCTTTTGAGAATTTTTTTTGTCCCTTTTTATAAGACCTGTTTGCTATTTCCAACTACATTAATTATTTCTTTACATACATGCCCCTATTAATTATACATCTTTTTCTTCAATCAACAATAAATAACATGTTGAAAACATAAACCATCTCTCTCTTAAAGGATAAAATTGTAAAAACAATATTAATTACAAACATATTTAATATAATTATCCACTATCTTAATTCCCGTTATTTTTTCAAAAGGACCCTATAATTAAGGACAGATGTAGTATATATTAATAACAGTGGGACCTCAACTAGCACAAGGTGTGCAAAAGGATTTACCTTGTTAAAAAGACAATTATTATTACTTTTGAGGGCATACTTTAGTTTTTTTATAAAATAAGTAAGTTTTCCTCTTTAAAATATTTTTTATATATCTATTATCATTGTTTTACATTTCAAAACTTGCTAAGAAAATTATATTTGAGAAACAAGAGTTTTTCATTTGATTAGTTTATTACCATTTTAATTGAACTCAAGTAAGTTCACCAAAAGACAAATATTTTGGAAGAACCTGGGTTCAATTCGTAGGTTCAATAACTTTTTACTGCACTTACTTCAGCGTCAAACTTTGGATTTCTAGGAACCCATTCCTCTAAAAATCAAAGTGTTAACACAAAAAAAAAAATATATATATATATATATTAATCATTTTTAAGATTAGAGCAAAACATATTCCTATCGATTATTTTTAATTTTTTTTGGTAGATAGATGAAATGGCAAAGCCATTATAAACTCACACACAAGTGGAGGTATCGGGATTCGAACCCCGTTCATGATATATGACCTAACAATTTCAAAATTTTACCAGTTGTGCGGGAACTTCTGGATCATATCGATTATTTTTTAATAAATACTGTATTGAAACAGTTTCCAAGGAAAACCGCGGGCAAAATACAAGTCCAACCCCAAATAACACAACATAAAAGAATTAAACAAAAATAGCCACTATACCCAAAATACAACACCAAAACCACATCATAAAACAATCGATTTGTTATTATTTTTTTATTTTTTACAGTGTTCAATGTCTATTTATCCTTTATACAAAAATGTCTATTAAAAAAATGAACAAAATAGATTTTTATAATTCACTTAAAATTTTAACGTATACTTTTTCCACACAAATAACATTAAAATTTTAGAATATTAAAATTCAACAAGATGTATTATAGTGGCTCTGTTTTGTATATACCATGCGTAGCATCCATAATACTAACAGACATATTATTCACGCAATAAAGAATACATCATTAAGAAAATTAAACAAAAACGATAAATATCATTTATTTATTTATTTTTGAACTCTTACAATAACCATCAATTACACATAATGTCACTCTTTAATTACTACTCATATAATTCAAGATTTTTTTTTTTGTTTACATTTTCAAGCTTTCAACACCATATTTTCACATTAAAGTGAAAATCAAGCCCTAAACACTAAAAGGCAACAAATCTATATAATCTCGAAATTTTTTAAATTATTTTCTTAATGAGCGAACATAGGCTCAATTGCAAGAGACTTAAAAGTGAACAGCCATCAATCTTCTAGAGATGTAAGCGGGGCGCAGTGGCAATGATGAGTAAGAAGGAGCAGCTACATCCAATGGGGGGGAATGTTGGAATAACCGGAGGCTCAACAGGGACAATAATAGGGGCAGAAGGGTCTACAGGGGGCTCAACAGGTGCAGGCGTAGCAGGGACAAGGGGGATAATTGGGGAAAGCGTAACAGGGGCAGGAGGAGTAACAACTACAGGCGTAATAGGGACAGGGGTAGAAGGTTCAAGAGGGGCAGGTGGTACAGGAACAAGAGGGTCAATTGGGGAAACCGTAACAGGGGCAGGAGGAGTAACAACGACAGGCGTAATAGGGACAGGAGTAACAGGAATGGGCATAACAACAGGGACATCGACGGAAATCGGATTGGGCCTAAAAAGGCCAGGCTTAGAAGGAATAAAAGGCTTAACAGGGGAAGGCTTAGAGGGGACAAAAGGCTTAAATCTAAAACCATCGGTTTCATAAAGAACAGGTTCAAGCTCTTGAGCAAATGTGGTGAGAAAGATTAGTTGGAGTAATAATAACACCAATGCTAAAAATTTGATCATTTTTCTGTGCAAGATAAAGTAACTTTGAAACACAGGGAGAGGATGTTGGTGTTTTGAGATGTTGTGAGAATGTTAGTTTGAGGTTGATTTATTTATAGGTGTTAATGTGCATAATCATAGGAGTTTCTGTTAATGTGTAGTAAACAATAAACAATAATAAAAATATTAAAGTAGAATTGTAAATAAAATTGTTTTTGAAAAAAAAATAATAAACTAATTAATTTTTTTAACAAGGTAATATTAACACCAAGAGAGCCCTTAAAAGTACAAGGTGTGCCAACAAAGCCCTTAAAAGTTTACAAATAATGGTACTAATTAATGTTAATTGGTATTGATCAGTGTTTTATTAATATTTAATGTGATCTTTCCAAAAAAATATATAATGTCGATTTAAATAATATTGTTTAATCTTGACAAAAAAAATAATAATAATATTGTTTCATAAACAAATGGTTTTTTTTGTCAAAAAAAAAATGGTTTTCTGAATATTGGTACGTCAATTTTATTTTGAAACTAATAGAAAAATCGATCATTTACTTATTGAAATAATTGATATATCATTAATATTTTTAAATTAAATAAATATTATTTTTTGAATAAATCTTATGAAAAGGTTGTATATTTACAAAGAAATTATTAGGTGATCTCTTACGCCCAACCAATTAAAATCTAACACCTCATTAAAATAATAAAAAGAATTAATATCATATTTTTTTTTCTCGTTATTTTTAATATTTCTCTCTCCTTTTTCCACTTTCTTTAACCTACAAGAACCACCCACCACCATTTATGTTTCCATTTCCTTAATTAAAATCACACTTTTTTTAAAGTTAATAACATGTGTCATTTTTTTATTGGTTTGGTGTAAGAATGATGTGTTGGGTAAGAGTTCATGCAAGAATATGTCATATCTATATGCACAAATTGTAACGATATTATCATGACATTTGTAGGGGTTGAATTTGAACCTTAAATTTGTGACTTCTTTGCGCAAATGTATAATTTTTTATTTATTTTTGTGGTAGCGGGGTTTGAATCATGTACTTTGCATATATGTGCATTGTTCATATCAACTGAGTTAAGCTTACAAGGACACAAATATATGAATCTAATCACCAAAAAGAGTTCAAGTAGTTAATTATTCTTTAATATAAATTTAATACAAAATAAATAAAGTAATGAGAATATAAGGGTGCCTTCAAAACTGTGAAATTAAAAGCAGATCATATAAGATATTTTTTTTAAGGAAAAATCATCTGATTGTACTCTCATTAATAGAAATCAAATTTTTTAAAGAATTACTTTTTTTTTTTAAGGATTAAAGAATTACTTAGAAATCATTTTTTTTTAGGGATACATAGAAATCATTTAAATGGTTCTTAATTGTCTTCATCTAATTTTTCAAGGAAGCTACTACAGTACTCCATTTTCTAGATTTGAATTAAAATTTAAGTTGGCTAGAAAAAAAATAAATTGAAAGACTTCGCTGGTACTCGTTCCGTTTTAAAATGAGTGTCGCTTTAGTCAAAAAGATTTGTTTTAAAATGAATGTCGTTTTACATTTTCAACACAACTTTAATTTTTTTCTTTCAACTTTACCCTCTCCAACTTTTCTCTCACACAATTTTCAATGCAACTTTAAATTTGTCTTTTTTTTTATAAAGTAAAGGCAATTTAGTAAAAGTGTTATGTCTAATGATTATTTCATTCCATTCTTTAATCTGTGTGCAATGGATTAAAGCGACACTCATTTTAAAACGGAGGGAGTAAATTTTTGCAGACACGTTTTATTTTATTTAAACTTATTTAAAATTTCTACTTTATAAATATTTTTATTTATTTTTTATATGAATTGGTTTTCTCTACGATCTTTTGCATAGATTAATCCCTCGAACGGTGCATTGCCACAATGGGTAACAAATATTTTTCTTAAGATTTAACTTATGCCCATAACATCTAATTAATAAGCTATAATCTTTTTCTATGGTCGAACTTATGCCCATAACATCTTTTGGTGGTGGCCGGATTTAAATCCCGAACCTTGCATATATTATGCATTGTCTTTGTCAACTGAGCTAAGCTTACGAGAACTATGCCCATAACATCTAATTAAGCTGTAACTTTTGCAACTCTAAATATATTAACTTTTACTTTTAGTCCTTGAAAAATTTCGTTCAAACTTTGGTCACTTTAAATTTTCAGTTATACTTTTTTTCAAAAGTTCATGATGAATTTTTGTAAAAAAAAAAAAAGGTTCATGATGAATTTATTTATATAAATAAATTTAAATATCTTTCTTGCCCCTTTAATTATATTAACTTTTATTTTTATTCTTAAAAAAAAAAATTAAAACTTTTGTCCCACTAAATCTATAGTTATTAATTTTTTTTTGCCCAAGATTCAAATCTCTGACATTGCATATAACAGCTTGGATATCACTAGGAACATAATTTTTTTGTCAGTAACACTTGTAGAGATGGTTTACCTAATCTAGGATTATATCTTTCTTCACATGCTTGGTTCTCCTCCATCCCTGACTGTATTAGCACTTACTATGTTAGGAAAAGACTTGGTCTTCCTAATTTTATGTTAATTTTTTTATGAAAAGGTGTAGACATAGTTTCCCTTTTTTGTACACTTTTCTTTTCTTTAATGAAGTTTGGTTACATTACCTTTTGCTAATATATATATATATATATATATATATATATATATATATATATATATATGTA